TCGCCTCTTTTCTTAAATATTAAGGATAAAGAAAAAATTTGTGAAAGTGCAAGGATGTGTTAATCAAACACGTCCAGGAATTCATAGTTCCAATAATTTCCAGATAAAATAAGTTTTTAATTATATTTTCATGTGAAATGCTATTGCAATGTATAAGTCGTGATATTATACAGAAAATTTGAGAAAATATTAACTTCAAATCTGTGTCTAAGCACCTTTAAGATCAGCAATGTTTTATTTTTAAGATAAAAGAAAATTTGTAAGTCAAAATTAAACATACTACAGTAACTTCATTCTTGAATAAAATGTTCTACTCTTGAAATAAAATTCTACAATTTTTTAAAATATCTTTTTAGAATGGGACAAGTAAACAATAAATTCGGACAAGTAACATTGTTAGCAACTTGTCCGACGGACAAGTGAGTATTTTAGTTAATGTTGAGCCCTGATGCAGTTGAATAGCTTTCATTATGTATCAGCATATGAAGTTTGATAAAAATATCTTGAATAATTTCTTTGAAACTGAGCTAAACTAAAGTGTGACACAAGGTCAAATATTGCTGTGCATAAAAATAGGTGTCACTGTATTCTATGTACATGTGTATCACAAGAACTTCTTTATCAAGGTTAATCTACAAGGGGTGTGATATATATCCATCTCAGCCCTGCAGATCCAAATAAGCCATGCTGAAAACGTGTAAGCCCTGGAATCTGATAAGGCTATTGTAATATCAAGCATATGCAAAAAACCTGTATTTATTAATAAGTATGTAATAAATATCAGTATCTTTGCGGCCTTTGTTTGAATCCCTATCATTGCTAAAGCAATTATTCAGCACAAAATAATTAAACGGGAACCATAACCCGGAAGTGCAACCTTCAGGAGGTAAATCTGTATTTTGAAACTAAAGCCTTATGGACTTCACAGTAAACAGCTTTGATGTTGAGTTGAAACTGCCCTGTTTTGAAGAAGCCCAGAATGTTCAAAAGTTTACAAAGTACACTTGACCACCTACTGACTGGCACAACAAGCAAAAGGCAATCTAAGTCAATAAGAAAAGTTTAAAATTAAGGACAGATGATACAAACAAAACTTTAATCAAAAATTTTGAAAATAATAACTTAAGTCATTTTTATATAAGTAAAAAGAAATAAGTTTATAACTGCATACGAGGAGTGATCAAAAACTATCTCTATATTTTCAAAACCACAATTCAGATCAGAATGAAATTTGGCATATATATAGTCATACATGTGTTCTATATATAGCAGTTTTATGTAATGTTTTGATCCATGTTTGTGACGTCACAATGTGAAAATGACGTCATTAGGTAGGTTACTTGTGACAAAAAATGATTGACTCAATCGTACTCGAGCAACGAACTGCCGTAAAGTTTAATGTGTATCTTGGAAATTCCTTTGCAGTAGCATATACTACTTTGTACAAAGTTTAAGAAGACAAAAGACTTGCCAGGAGTTCAATCATTAATTGGATTGATTGTTTTAGTGAAAGAAGGGAGATGGTTAAAATTTATGTTTGTTCTCTTGCCCAGTGAAAGCAAGCTGGGGAAGAGATGTGTCCACAATTGAGCAATCTGATATGAAAGACCGCCAAGTTACAGTTAGAAAAATAGTTGAATATCTTCACAATAATACAGTTATTAAATCCCTAAAATATCGTTTACTTTAGAATTTAATCATATCAGATATGATAAAAAGAAGGCGCCATGCCTTATATCCACATTGGATAAACGTCGCTCCCAAGACGGAAAACTCGGGTTGCAATGGTCACCATGCTCATTCCGGGAAAGGATATCCTTATCCACCCCTCCTATTGTCGAGATTTGGCCATTTTTGACAAGTTGACTGTTCTTGTTATAAAAAATAACTTGCATGGTAAGAAATATAAGACTCGAAAAAATCTTTTACAACCTGTGAACGGAACGCTTCGGAGCATGTCACGTGACCGCCTGTATCATGTGATTTGCGCATGGGCAGAACTGTGGCAGATGTGCATTTAAATCGGAGAGGACTACTTTAAAAAACAAGAGGTCCATGGGCCACAACGCTCACCTGAGTAACTTTGGCCTTGCTGTTTTTCACCCGATTTCCCCCTTGTAATACCTATTGTGGCCCCGCCCTACCCCAGGGGTCATGATTTGAACAATTTAGAATCTACACTACCCCAGGATGCTTCCACATAAGTTTCAGCTTTTCTGGCCCAGTGGTTCTTGAGAAGAAGATTTTTAAAGATATTTTTACATATTTCAATGTAAAACTTGGATTCCCTATTGTGGCCCCGCCCTACCCCTGGCGGTCATGGTTTTTACAATTTAGAATCTACACTACCCCAGGATGCTTCCACATAAGTTTCAGCTTTTCTGGCCCAGTGGTTCTTGAGAACAAGATTTTTAAAGATTTTTTCTACATATTTCAATGTAAAACTTGGATTCCCTATTGTGGCCCCGCCCTACCCCTGGCGGTCATGGTTTTTACAATTTAGAATCTACACTACCCCAGGATGCTTCCACATAAGTTTCAGCTTTTCTGGCCCAGTGGTTCTTGAGAACAAGATTTTTAAAGATTTTTTCTACATATTTCAATGTAAAACTTGGATTCCCTATTGTGGCCCCGCCCTACCCCAGGGGTCATGATTTGAACAATTTAGAATCTACACTACCCAAGGATGCTTCCACATAAGTTTCAGCTTTTCTGGCCCAGTGGTTCTTGAGAAGAAGATTTTTAAAGATATTTTCTACATATTTCAATGTAAAACTTGGATTCCCTATTGTGGCCCCACCCTACCCCTGGGGGTCATGGTTTTTACAATTTAGAATCTACACTACCCCAGGATGCTTCCACATAAGTTCTAGCTTTTCTGGCCCAGTGGTTCTTGAGAAGAAAATTTTTAAAGATTTTTTCTACATATTTCAATGTAAAACTTGGATTCCCTGTTGTGGCCCCGCCCTACCCCCGGGGGTCATGATTTGAACAATTTAGAATCTACACTACCCCAGGATGCTTCCACATAAGTTTCAGCTTTTCTGGCCCAGTGGTTCTTGAGAACAAGATTTTTAAAGATTTTTTCTACATATTTCAATGTAAAACTTGGATTCCCTATTGTGGCCCCGCCCTACCCCAGGGGTCATGATTTGAACAATTTAGAATCTACACTACCCAAGGATGCTTCCACATAAGTTTCAGCTTTTCTGGCCCAGTGGTTCTTGAGAAGAAGATTTTTTAATGACCCCACCCTATTTTTGTCTTTTCTTGATTATCTCCCCTTGGAAGGGGGCTTGGCCCTTCATTTTAACAATTTAAACTCCCCTTCACCCAAGGATGCTTTGTACCAAGTTTGGTTAAAATTGGCCCAGTGGTTCTTGAGAAGAAGTTGAAAATGTGAAAAGTTTACAGACGGACGGACGGACGGACAGACAGACGGACGGACGGACGGACGGACGACGGGTGATCAGAAAAGCTCACTTGAGCTTTCACCTCAGGTGAGCTAATAATGAACACTAAAACCTTATTTCATTTCTTTTATGGAAGTTATTCAATTAGTTCGCGAACTTTTTGATCACCCCTCGTAAGTTTCACAATAATGGGATTTAAAATGACAAATAATTGTATATTTTAATAGGGATAGTTGCAGAAAGGTAGAATTTTGAACATCGTAGAAAGTTAACAATTTCTTAATATTTTAGAAATTTATTATTCACATCATTTACAACCAAAATAGGTCCAAATATATACATACCAATCCAAGCATCCATTTTTTTTTTTTTTTGTATCATCTGTCTTTAAACCTGTCTTACATCAAAGAAAAAGCTAATTACCATAACCTTCCTCTTCTGATGACCTTTTGATGGTTGTTGGTCTGTTGGCTTGTGGTTTCTCATTACTTTCTTGATTTGATGAACTTGCCATAGGGCATGCTGATGCTGGATATAAAATAATAAAAGGCTTGAGAAGCAATGCTCTCTCTCCTAAACTAATATGCAAACATCTTTTATCTTTTGGACACACTACTCTCTGTTATATGCAGTTGCAATTTTACACTGCCTTGTGCAATTAAGTTGACAAATTTAAGCATTTTTGCTATTTAAGAAGTCAACATGCTTCTTCCATGTTCACACCTTGAATCACTGACTTTCACACATATTTTCATATCTTCCCCTTTTTTGCTTTTCAAATACTAAGAAAAATTATACATAACGTAACCAAACTTATTGGGTTAAATCTTCCAAAATCTGGGATATTTGACTGCATTTATTAGGAACACTGCTTGAAAAAACACCTTTACAAAACTTTACTTGCAAAGTAAATCTCATTAAAGGTGATCCAAAAAGCAAGGTCATCTTTGTATTAACTTTACAAAAAGTAAAGGTGAAAAGGTAACCTTTACTTGCACGAAAAGGTAAATAAATTTAACCTTTCACCTTTAATGCTGCATTAAAGTTTATATATATATATATATATATATATATATATATATATATATATATATATAATGAAACTTTTTAAAATCCTTACTTGAATACTGACTTTTGTTTAATACACTCGTACTTAAGATTTCAACAAATGGTTTTTGACTTTTAATAAATAGGTATCTGATGTGTCTATTGTGTTACCCCCCTCCCCCCCCCCCCCCCCCCCCCATTTTGTTAAAATCGATCTTACTAAAAATACACAAATTTTCAAGCGTTATATCAATTTCCAGTTGTATTTAGTATTAGAGATTGTCATCTACAAAATGTAAAAATTTATACTATTTTTGTATACTGTAGACGGACAATCAAAAATGTAAAAATGGTATCAGATATCAGAATATAGATATAATAAACTTTCAAATTTCCTATGACTTAACCTTTAAGTTATCTGATTTGCTGGTATCTGATAGATGGAGAGCTCTTTTTTATTTGCTTTTAGTTTAGATATATTGGAACCTTTTCTGTTATAATTTCTGCTTTATAAATATCTACCAAAAACGGTTACAAACATTACAAGATTACATCTTTTACTAGAACAGGCAATAAAATGACAAAGAATAAAATAAAAAAGGTTAAAATACAATACAATATTATTCATCCTTTATGGTGCATGTACATGTGTCAAAACTTCGCAGTTTAAATGGAACTAAAAATGCCTTACTCAGTTATTACTCAAGATCACTGATGAGAAACTACGCAACATAAATATGGCAAAGTACTAGTATTTCCAATTTAAACTATTAAAGGCTATCTAATGAGTATTTATGTACAGGTTAATAATGTTGACATCTTGTAAGCATAATGGTGTAATTTACATATTCACAAAATAAAGAAACAAAATTGCTTAAACATCTATTAGAATATAGCTTCAGAGGTAGTTTTGCAAGATGCATAAGTAAATGCATGTGTCCAGCTTCACGCAGTGAGCCGGTTTGAGCTTGACTTTATACTTTGGATTAAATGTTATATGTGCATTGTGTCTGTGGTAGGAGATTGTGTTTGCATTGTGTCCATCTTCACACGCCTTGGAAAATATGTAATTGGTTGTGGTGGTTGCTTGTGTGTTTGCATATGTGTCCAGCTTCACACATTTTCATGTATGTGCTCGACTTCACACGCCTTGGAAAATATGTAACTGGTGTTGTGGTAGATGTTGTGTGTGCTCGACTTCACATGCCCTGGAAAATATGTAACATTGGTTGTGGTTAATGCTGGAGTGTATGCATATGTGTCTTGCTTCACACAGAGAGAAAAGTTTTGCGTGCTCTTTTCTACAAGATAATGATTATTTAAATATACTCCGAATACATCCTCTAAAGAAATGGATAATCATAATGAGTTACATACTAAGTTCCTCTGTGCACAATATACACAATTTTACTGAAATTAAACTTGTGCAAAAACTCTCTTGCTGAATAACTTTCATTATTATAAATGCTTGAATGTTCGTCTATAAATTTTCAGATATTTTCTAGTCAGTGTGTATATTCTTGATCACGATGGCATCCATATTTGATTCCCCTCTCTGTCATCTTTTCTTGGTCACCAGTTAATTCAACAGTAGGATGGATACTCAGATCTCTCGGGTGTTGGACAAAAGGAGTGCTAATAATAAACATAATCTTCGAAATTAGAGATAATAATATCCATTTCTTTTCCAGCTTTGCATAAATTAGTTATCTTTTTAAATTAAAGCACATCTGCAATATCCCTGAAAACTTGCCAAGATACTTAATATGTTTGTAGCATGCTTTAACTACTTTAATTTTATTTTTTGGAATTTTAGAATAATAGAAAAGCAAGTTCATATATAAAAATGAAATGTAAAAGATCTTAATAATGAAGATTCATTTACACAATGTGATAACACATTGAAGTCAATTCCTCACCTGACTTGCTCGTAATTTATCTTCATAATGGAGTTGATTCTGTGATGATCACTTTCAATCATTTAAAAAAACTTCTTTATCTCAAACTATCTGAAGGTCATCCATCTTCCCAACTGCCACTCACCCAAAGTGTACCGAAACTTCTGACCTGTATAATATCCAAATTCAAGATTAAAATAAAAAAAAATCTCTTTACAATATTGGTCTCTTTAAAAAATGTGAGAAAATAATTTTAAATACTTTTCTAAAGATGGAATAATGTGGTGAGTACCTAACAATGTTTAAAAATATTTTGATCTCTGTACAGTGATAACATATGAAAAAGTCATGTCCCTTGTAATTGAAAAAAACTTCCATTCTTAAGGACATTACCCAACATAGAAATAATGTACATTTGTCTCTGGCACAACCAATCCACAAGAGACCTTTCCATACTTCGCACCATGCATTAGCTCTCCACTCTTTGTTTCTACAAAAGATAAATTATGAAAAGGTAATTTTTTGACTGTTAAATCAGATTAATTATTTTCCAACCAGTGATGAATAGAATATTTGATTTCCTTAATAATCAGGGACATATTATTCATGTTTATCTCAAATGAACAAAGTTTGATCCCCCCCCCCCCTATCTCCACTACAAAAGGAAATAAACTGACTCAGAAACTCTTAATTCAGTGAGGTAAAGGAAATAATGGCATCAGACAAGGAAAGATTATTAATCATTTTTTCAGTTGAGATGAGATTATATCTTTTAAACATTTTTGAGGTTAATATATTTTTAACACCCCCCCCCCCCCCCCCCCCGCATCAAACAAAAAAAAGTCGCCCCTTTATTTAGCTGTCCTAAATCTATATAAAAAAAAAAATTAATGATTTTTTTCATTTTAATTTATTATATCTTGACACTATACACAGTGGTAGTAGATGCAATAAATTAAGAGGTAACCCCCCCCCCCCCCAGATGTTACGTCTGAAATGTTAAACGACTGTTGTTCAATATCTTGAAAGACAGAAAACAGTTATACACAACAATTAAGCACATTTTCATTACCTTGCAGTCAGTGTCGAGTGACACACGTAAACAACATCCCACAATTTCTTTGTTTATTCTTGGCGGAATTTTGTGGCCTTGTAGACTGGTTCCCATACATTGCAAGTGCCCTGAATAAGTCATACGCTTATTGGTTTTGTTTATAAGAGGTAATATCAGTAATATGTCCCGTTCATTTGACAAACTTTACTTTAAAATACTGAAATATATATTATCATATTATACCGATGTTTTCCACCTCAGTATTGTGTAATCCTCTTCATTCAAGTCTTCTCGAATACAAAACGAACGATTTACTTTTAACAGTAACCCAAATATGGCACTGTGTATTCGGTTGAATAGCCAATCATTTCAAATCAAGTTGAGCGGGTCTCATCGAATTTTCTGGTATTTTTGACGAAAATATGCAACCAGTGATCAGTTGATTTAATACCTTTTCATCTACCGGTAGATTTAAGGAGGTTATTGCTTGGAAAACAGCTCGAGCTCCCGGGCTGGCAATTGGCATGCACTGCAGTGCAGGTTTGTTTACGTTTTCCATCTGTTTTCAGCATACATTGTGGAACATTGAAACTGACGAAAGTCAGGAAAAACTACGCTAAATATGTATTTTAGATAAGTAACTTGATAAATTGGGGATAATGTTCCATTTTTTTCTGTAAAGGATCATGGGTTAAACAAGACCAAGAAAAAACAATTCTAGGTCACAGTTTTAGAATGTTTATCTGTTTACATTAATGCTAGAAAAAAAAAATAGAAGCCAGGGTAGGGGCAATGTTCTTAATAGAGGGCAAGTTAGGTTATATTTTATAGATATTATTTTGTATTCTAAACCATGTCCATTTTTCAAAAACAGGTTCTAGTGAAATCAATTATGCAGTTTCTTGAAGGAAAAAAGTCATGGATGACAACAATGTATGATTTACCAGACCAAGGGATACTAATGTTTTTTGACGGTACTTGTACGTATTAGTTTTAAAAAAATCAATAAATGGTATCATTAAAATGTTACTTAAACAATTATTTACATTATCAATTGCTTGACTTGTTCGGGAGTCAGTATAATTATACATTTCTGTTTTCAAAAAATGTGTTACTACTTTTTCCAGGCTCCACCTACTCAGCTTACTGTGAGAGAGTTAACACCTTATTGACAGATCTTTCAAGAAGAAGAAACACTTGAGAAGGGTTCAATAGTTTAATTTTATAGATGGCAAGTATTGCTTAGACCTAAAGTATTCTTTAATTGTGAAGAAAACAAACATAAGGGTGTTTGGCAATTCATAATTATTAACTGTGATTGCATTGTGTATTTTTAAAATCATTCTTTGGTATGCTTCAAACTCCAAAGTATTTATGAAAACATTGACTATATTTATCCAGATGTATGAAATGTTTATCAAAGTATGAATTCCATTTTAGCATGTTATCTTCAAAATGAGGGACCTGTCAACTTTTACAATTCCAAGATCAGGAAATAATTCATGAGCAGCAACATGCTACTTGGAGAAAGGTACATATATCCTAAACCATAACTAGAGTATCATACTATAGCTCGATAAGCAGCAACTATTGGTCCTTTTGTAACCTGATTACTAAGAAGGAAAATGGAGTTAATTATATGTGTTCAGTAATTATCCATAGATACTGATGTCAGTACTTTTTCACAAATTATCTTGCAAGTAAGACAAACATTTTCCAATTCTGCAAAAGTATCTTAGCTACAGAAGGTCACAAGAAATCTTATACATGTATTACTCCTACATTAGTATATTTTGTAAATAATCCTTTCAAAAGAAATATTAGGTAATGATAAACAAAGAAATTACAGAGTTATTAAATTTTAATCTTAGGGGTAAGATAAAGGCTAGTGGCCCAGTCCATTTATATTATAAAATAAGTTAACAACAACATGTTCATCTGTTTGTATCTGTCTTATTTAATAAGATTAGCATCGTTTTTTGGTAAAAATAAAGGCTGACATTAATGGTTCAAAATATTTTCTTTTTGAGGTTAAAGGTCATGTATGAAATTTTTATTTATTAATATGGTTGCATCTTGTTTCAATTTTCATTAGTCATGATACTGTGAATACTGATATCACAGTTTATTTGAATTTATAACACATATGCCTATGAAAATATTCATATTCATGTCACTCATAATATATATATATATATATATATATATATATTTTTTTTTCTTTGAAGGAAAACAATAGAAGACTGCCTGCATGAGAATAAAAGTTTTGGACTCTGAAAAGGAAGGTGTGACACAATATATATCTGGACAGTTGTTGATTTCCACAGAAATGCATGTTCAGTAACAAGAAAGCAGAGCACAGTTTCATGTCAATTCAAATCTTTAAATTCAAGGATGAACAATTGGTTCTTTATACGAAACAAAATGACATGTTTGAAAAGGATTTTGGTGAAATGTACTCTGTCCTGGATAATTATTATTTGTGTATTGGATTTGCAGGATAGACTATGAACAACAGATACTGTCAAGAAATTTGATGTTTTTGATTATATGTTTGTATAAAAATGTTTGGTATAGTAATAAAGAAAGTTTAAGTCAATCTGTTGTTACTTTGTATATTAAGTATGATGTCCAGACTTCTTTTGCAGTTTCAATTTGGAAGGAAAAGCTTATTTATTATATGCACAAGCTTTATTCAGAAGAATGGAAAAAGTAATTATTAACTTTTGTGGCTATTAAAGATGGTATTTAATTAAATTTAAGATTTGTAATTATCAGCTTTAATGAACCCCAAATACTGTGTTTAATGTTTGTAAATATTAACTTTACTTTTTTGTAAAGTCAAGAAAAAGTGGGACATTACATCATATTTAAGTGCATGTAAAGTTAATGTAAAGGTTACCTTTTCCAACTTTGACTTTTTTCAGAAAAGCCAATTAAAGGCATTGTAAATAATAAATTTACATTATCTTTACTTGTTTTGTAAAACCAAATTTTCATGCAGTGGAAAGAGAATATTTTGGCTGTCATTTTGTGTGTGAAAGGCCCTTTTGCCTTAATGAAGTAAGGTGTAAGATTTAACAAACTTAAACCTGTACTATTTACCTGACAAAGAACAGTCTTGACAACTTAATTTTCCTTTCAAACCGGCCAGTTCAAATTTTTAACATAATAAATATATTTTTTATTTAACACTATGACCACATTTTGTGGTACATCCTTAGTCCTAATTGGCTGTAATTTGAGCAAAGTTTCATCTTAACTTCATGGTGATGATTATACAGGATGTCTTGTCTAATCTGAGATGCTGTGAGAACTGAATTTTGTATATTAGAATAAAAAAAGGTGTCAATAAAACTATTGTCATGTAAAATACTTTCTATGAAATGACTATTGAATATCAGATTTAAGGAGGAGAAGGACCTTGAACTGAAAAAATACTTGTCATTCAATTTTTTTCATATTTTGTATATTTCTAATTAAGTATGTCCCACATATCTTAAAGCAGTTAAATCATTAGGTTTCTTACCTTATTTTGGAGATATTGATTGACAAATACTATGCCCTACAGTATCTAAGTGGAGTTTTAATTCTCCATGTTTCCGGGTGCATTACTCTGTCCATAATGGGTTTTTTTAAGCATACATAAAAAATATCGAAGTGGACATGTACCTTTTAAAATATTTCAGAGTACAACTAGGATTTAAAATTCGAAAAAGCAAGTTTTGTCTATCACACTGCATCTGGATAGGGAAAATAACGCACTTTTTAAGACAACAATAAAAAAACGTAATTTACAAAAAATTTTATCATTCAATATTTTTTAATTTACGTTGAAATGCAAATCCTTCAAATTATTGATTAACTGTAAAAGATTCGAATGATGAAGCTGACCTCATTATTTCACAGGACATCGTTAAAGAGGATATAAGCATAACAAAAAACGTGTCATGTTACATTTCTCGAGTACGGGATAAACCAACTATGACATCACACGTAAGCTAAATAAGCGAAATAAGATATACCTACATAAGATTTCCGTCATCAGCCATGCAAAAATAATTTTTGTGTTCCCCGTTTCTCAAAATATTTCATCATATACTGATTATGACCTGTTTTTACATAATAATACCGCCCCTGTGTTCACCGAGTATGATCTTGCTGCACTAACAAATCATGTATGACGTCACCGACTTGTTGGACGTGCAGTTTAGGGAAACAGAGGAGTGGATCAATCTTTTTCATAATTTGTTAATGTTTACAAGAATGTTAAAACTTTTTAATTTTTTTATATAAGATGGTAATTAAAGTTAAAAAATTGTCAAAAAATTATACAAGAACTGATGCTTTACACGTTTTGCGCTTATATAAACGGAGACTATGACGTAGTTAAACAGACTCATGTGACCATGTGT